CAGCAGGAACAGACAAATTGTATGGAATGGTATGTTAGGAGGCAGTTCATAAGCCAAGAATAAATTTTAAAATTCAGGCTTCCTGAGAGGATAGAAAGATCTTTTGTGGCAGAAACATCAACTGTTATTTTTGCTCCTGTTAACTTTCAGGTTGTTTTTTTTACTTCTGATGAAATTTCTATAACTATTTTTTGAGTTTTACCTTTCAGGAGTAGTAATACATGAACTTTCCCAAACAGAAGCAATAATACTTGCTGCATCCATTACAACAGAAACTCTGTAGGGGTCTGGAGAATTAGGGGTTGCCTCTCCCTTTTATGCAGAACCATTCTTTAATCTAGTTACTGCAGTGGTGTGACAATCTACTGTGGTTGTGGTGGCAATCCTGATGGTAAAGCTGTTACTGTTTAAATATCATACTTTTCCATATGCTCAGGGCACAAAAAGTGTTATTCCCTGAACAATAGAAACAAAAAGATAAGGAAGCTAGCATTTCTTCTAGGATATCTCGAAACGTCAGTATGACAGTGCCTTGAATTACTGTAGCTGCTTTGTTTGCTTCATTTTAATTAATTACCATATCTTCCCATTTTCCAAATGGTAGCATATTTAAATGACATAGTGTTTGTATTCAAATCATGGTCAGTGTCATAAACCAAAAAATAATATTGCTGTTTTTAAACTTGTAACAGTTATTCTTGAGAAGCCAATCCGGATTCCAAGGTTCCTTTCTGTCAAGGCTTCCCATGTGTTAAAAGGATTTTTAAACAAGGTAAATAACATTCTCTTATTTTTAGCATCTAAGATCTGGAAGTCAGAGCTTCCTGTTGAAAGTAATACAGTTAAGAAGTTAATCTGCTTATTATTAAGAAAATCTATAAAACCTTGGTTTCCTGTATGTTAACCCCCCCCCACAAACACACACTTCTTAGTTGCTAATTTACTGAGGGAGTTGCACAGCACAGACTTGTTTCAAAAGCCTGCACCTAGTGGTAAGAAATAACTACAGGCCTATTTATAAACTCTTTTCTGTGATACTTGCTACTCATTTAATTAAACTGATTGGAATTGGTAGAACTGTTACCATTTTTTCATGGAGAACAAAAGGATATGAGTTAGAGATTACCAAGTAAGTCTAGATATTTTATTTTAAGAAGTTGTATCATTTAAAAGTGAAATTTCAAACTTCATCCAAAACAAAGACAAAGTAAAGAGCCAAAATCCCTTGGTGGCTACAGTATGTGTATCTTAGCAGCAGCTTGTGTAGTAACAGGGAATGCTGGTGTCAGGCGTGTGGGGTTGTGACAAGCATGGAACTGGCTCTAAGTGTGTAAAGTGAGTTGCTGTGTTTTTCATAGGACCCCAAGGAGAGGCTGTGCTGCCAGCCACAGACAGGATTTGCTGATATCAAGTCTCACACGTTTTTCCGCAGCATAGACTGGGATCTGGTAAAAATACTTATTTTTGTTTATATGTGTTCAAAAGCAATAGATTTTTTTAGTTTATGATTTGTATGTCTATGTAGCAACCCCATTAAACATGGTGAAATTCAATTCCATAAATGTAAAAGCTATTTTGATTTCTCTAGGTGACCTAACACAATGGAAGTAAGCTTTATATTGTGACCAAGAACCTGGCTTGCTTCCAAACTTTAAGAATGGTTGCAACATGTGGGTACCATTTTTTGAATACAGGGTGAATTTTAGAGAACATTAAAAAACACACAAAACGTATTAAAGCCTTGGTGAAACCTCCTATTCCTTGGTTTGTACTTGTAGATTCTGCAAACTATAAAATTTGCCCTGCGTACATATGAGGAGCCTGCAGTTGGAATTTGAAGGGTTGCATAGTTTTCCAGTGTCAGAATTCATGGATTTCCAGTGTCAGAATTCAGTGCCTTAATGTTCTGGGTGATTCTTTAATATTGACTTACTAATAAACTTTTCAAGTTCCATTGAAAAAGGAAGTGTGGACTAGCCAAGACATCCCATTGGATTTCTATTCCAGGACTTCATTTCTCTTAGTGATGGGAAACCTTTCTGCCTAGACAGGAGGTTTAGCAGGTGATGAGCACAGGAAAGTGTCATGAAACCAGTTTAAATACAACCATGGCAGATGAGGTGCTTCAAATATGTGAAGCATTTGTAGTCTATTTGTAGTACATGATATAATTTGTGAATTCGGTCTTTTTTTTCTTTATTAAATCAGTAGGATTACTCAGGTAGGTAACAGGGTTTAGTGTCATGAGTAGGTGTGAGGAGGATCAGATCCTTGTTTTAAGGATGTGGCTTGAAAGCAGAGTGGTAATGGAAAATTATTCTCTGACTTTCAGGTTCTCTTTATTACAGCTGGTGGTAGAGAAGGTTTTAATTCATGGTGGAGTAGATGACTTGCATTTCAGTGGCTTTGCTGGCACACAGTTTTATTGAAATGATAGGTTTTCTAAAAGCTTCTGCTAGTTGGTAGTGGTGTGTGTCTTCATTGTAGAAAACCATCACAGAAACGAGGTTATGTTTATTGACACTTGAGCAATAAAACAGCCAGGAACACTCTGCCTTATCAACATTATCGTTTTTACTACCTAGTTGAACAGTGAGAAAAAAATGCATGTAATATTTTGATCGTCTGAGGGAATCTGCAGGAAGTGTATGAACAGGCAGCCAGCAGTGCCTGTGACAGCATGAGAAGAGGTTCAGGGAAGGAAGGAAAACTCCATGAAGACATTTCCACATTGAAGCCTGTTGTTCAGCCTCCCTGGCCACCGTTCTGCTGAGATGATGTTCCCTGCATAAGAAGCTAGTGTGTTAAAGTACCTGGTGTTGACAGAAGTGTTCCTACAATGAAGGCTGTCTTTAATGCTTTCAGACATCCCTTGTGTTGTTTTCTCCCTTCAGCCACAGTGTTACTTTTTATTATGTTGGCTCCCTAGTGGTGCTACAATGCAACTTAATGAAGTTTGTGGTAGAGCATAAATGCCCAGTACTGCAGGGTTTTGGTTTTGCAGTTTGTTGAGAGAGAGGGAAAGATAAAAGACTCTTGGATTTGTTTTGCTTATTCATATATGAAACTCTTTGTTGCAATTTGTACTTTCTGGTCAACATTTAGGCTGATTTAATTTTGATTTTTTAAAAAAATATATTTTTCTTGGCTGAAAGTTTTGATATTAAATATTTGAAGAAAAATAATTGAAATATTTAGGTAGTTCTGTGCTCTTTTGATATGGTTAGGACAGTGCTGTTAAGGAGGATCTAAAATGTTACATAATTTTTAAGCTAAATGTCTAATGAGAGTGTTGGGAAATATATGCAGGAGAGAAAGAAAAAATATTTGGAAAGCTTTTTTACTTATTAGAATTTTCTTTGAAATGCAGGTGATGAGTAGAGAGATTTTGACTTTAAAGCTTTTCCAGATCTTTTCAAGTTGAAGTGCAGGGGAACAAGCATCTAATGCTGACTGTGTTGGGGTTTTTTGTGTGAAGCTTGAGGTAAATGGAAAAAAACCACAATGGTTAAGTGAACACATATACCATAAACATTTTGTTTTCCTGGTGTTAGTCACTTGAGTGGTGTGTGGCACAGCTAAGAACAGTTTAGATGATTTGCTCTGTGCATAGGTTGGCTTCACATCCAGGGAGGTACCAAGACTAATTAGGAAGAAATTATTTTCTGTGAGGGTGATGACACCTTGGCCCAGGCCTCCCAGAGAAGCTGTGACTGTCCCATGCCTGGAAGTGTCCAAGGGCAGGTTGGATGGAGCAGCCTGGTCTGGTGGGAGGTGTCCCTGCCCATGGAGAGGGGTTGGAACTAGATGATCTTTAAGGTCCCTTCCAACATAAACCATTCTGTGATTCTATGAAGTCTGTTCTTACCCTAGTGCCTGTTTTTATGGTGTTTATCCATTACATGCTGAAAAAAGAACTACAAAGCCATGGCTACTACTAGCTGTTTACAGGAGTTTTTTCTAGAGCTGTACCAACATATTTTTTCACTTGTTTTCTCAAGTTAAAAGCTGCAAATTCAGTGTATGTTTTATTTGAGAGTGCTTTTATGCTTTGAGTATAACATAAAAGAGGTGGTCTGATGTTTAACATCTAGTTGAATGCCTTGCTGTTGAAGTGTTAATGCATAGCTACAACTGATTCATAATGACAGTCTTACCACCCCACTTCCATTCTTAAATACTCACTTTGCTGTTTCTTTCATGTTGCCATTCTTCTTTGGGAGGAGCTAATTTTGTCTTCCCCGTAAATTTGCTGTGATTATGCTTTCTAAGACCATTAACTGATAGGATATTGAGAATCACTGCCCAGTTAGAGTTCCATGATTTCCTCATATCCATCTGTACTCATCATGTACATCATAAACCTGGAATGCAAGATTCTCCTGTGATTGATCACCTCTTTGTTGTTTACTCTGTGCCAAGCACAATGTGATGTCCTGCCTAAACCCAGGTTACCTCCCATGTTGGTAGTATAAGTGACCATTTTGATCAGTGGTAACTACTTTTCACTTAGATTATGCTCACCTGTTTAAAGTTAGATTATGGAGATTGTATCTTTGGTTTGTTGGGTTTTGTGGGGTTTTTAGCTGAATATAAATTTTAGAGTTAGAATGTTGGGATTTGTGCTAATTCAAGCTGGACTGCATGGCAGATTTTGTCTCCACTGCGGTGGTGGTGGGACTTGCAGGTTAAATGGTAATTCAAGTAAATTAAATAATCTGTATAAATGCATTGCCGTTAATCTGCCATAAATTCCCTTTCCTGCTAATTATCAGCAGCAGCTTTTCCATATTTGTATGTTCATAAACCTAAATTACAAGTTTTACTTAAAATTTTATAAGTATGTCCTTTTACTTGCAGGATGTAAGACTGCAGAAGATGAAGCTAGAAATCTGAGTCTCAAGATCTAAATTACAATTGAAATTCTAGTTATGATCTATCATACATCACAAATAAGTCTCCCCTAATTGCACACAAATGCTGTTCCTCAGGATAAAGAGTAAATATATTGTGCTAACTCTGGTATTGCAGCAGTAAGCATCTGTGTGGGAATTTTTCAGTCCTGAGTGTAATCTATGAAGTTGGAGAACACTGAAATGGCTGAATTATTTATGGGCATCTATTTTTAAATGCAGAGCAGTAATTATTTTAGTGTCTGTTGCCTGGCTTGTAATGTATATTACTTTGGTATTTTGATATTTCTCTCCAATAGCATTTAATGTAGTTGAATTTGCAGAGTTCTTTTGTTAATTAGTATAGAAAATGTTGCTATAGTAAAATTTGTTTTGCAGATGCAGGTTTTATTTGTGTAAATTTTGGTTTTTCTTTTTTTTTACTCTTAATACTATAAGCTTTTAAAAACATACCACCATCACACTACCTAGGGAACCAGGGAAGTCTGGGTTAACTCTGATCTGTGATGATCTCTGTGCTAAGAGATCAGAAAAATAATTTTTTTCTACAGGAGTTCTGACAAAACATACATGACTTTTTTTTATTAGAACCAAATTGTTTCATTTACTCATCATAAACATGACACTTTCTTATAGCTTTGAAAATGTTACTACTATAGTCCTATGCTATTATAATTTGAAATCTAGTTAGAGTAGGTCTTTTTACTGAAATGAAGCAACAGTTTTAATCTCCTGTCTCTTGGTTTAATGGACAATAAAACACTAAACTGCAGTTGAGCAGATGGTGTAAGTACCATCAACTGCTGTAAAAATGTATTTTACTGGATTTGCTGTAATTGCAAATACGATATGATTAATGTGATCAACATGTGAATATACTGTTACGATGGAATTTAAGCCAGGAATGAAGTGAGGGAGAATTGGGAAGATCCCTAATTGAGGTGGCTTCTCAAAGAGGTTTGGAGCTATTTTTAATTTTGGTTAAAATCCATGCAAGCTGTATCTCTTATGCATTTTACTGCATGTGTGTTTGCACATACCAATCATACAAAAAGTGGTTTTGCCTGTGATAGTACTTCTTTAAGTAATGGCAGGAGAATAAGCTAGTTTCCTGTCCTCTGCAGAAAAGTATGAAATGGCTCCATCTTCTTGTCACCAGCTCTCTTACATCTGCAGTGAACAACCAGGGCTTTGCTGCCTTATTCTGTTCTGGACATGCTTTCACACAGGTTTCACTGAGGCAGAGACCATTTCTTGAAAGGAAGCAGGACTATGATTTGGATCTAGGGGGGGAAAAAAAAATAAAATCCTGCATAAGGGAGTACAAGAGCTCAGCCTTTTCTGAAAGCTATCCAGGAAAATCCCTGGTACCTCCCTGCAGATTAGAGGCCTGGTTATTCCTTCAAGAGTTTTTGTTCTCTCTAGGTACTCTGAATAATAAAGCACATATCCTACTTAAAAGCATAGTGGGAGAGATGAATCACTCGTGTTTTGTGGCAAACATACATACATACTTTAAAAGGAGAAAACATAACAAAAGTTTTACTGAAACAGTGTAGAGGTCTGAATTAGAAATAAGTACATTTTCTTTCTTATCTCAGAATAAAGATTATCAAATTATCTAGCTGCATAACTTGTGAATTATTAGAGATACTAGATGACCCTCAAGAGCTCTGACTTTGTTATTGAATTTTCATTGACTATTCCAGGTCATTTGTTGAGGTGTTGAGTTCTTTTACTGTCTTACTGAGACCAAAGACTGAATATGTAACCATGAAAATACTAAATTTCTCACTGCAGGGAGGTTAGTACATTCCATAAACCAAAGTAAATATTGTAACCTGGTGAGACCCATGTCCAAATAGAAAGTTTAAACCTCAGTCTGTGTTGAAAAATTATTCATTTATTTAAAAAAAGGCAGTGGAGGCAGGTGTGAGGATGTGAACCCAGAGGGGATTTTTTGTGGTTTTAGGCTAATTTATTTCAGTGTTTGGCTCAAAAGTAGAAGTCTGAAAATGCCAGGAGAGTCTCCCAAGGTATTACTGCAGCTTCCTTTAAGAAATAGGTTTTCTCAGGCAAATGGCCATGCAATATGGAGTAAATTGAGAGTGTTCAGGAAAACTTAATTAGTTGCTTGTAATTTTGGACTCCATTGATCTTTGGGTTCCTTCCCATACATTCTATGATTATATGAATTTTTCATGTCCATTTGTGAGCTAATTTTAGACTTCAGTGTATGACATGTTTTATTTAATGCTTAGTGAAGATGATGATACTCTACTTACTGAGCTAATAAGACTTCTTCCTGGCCAGTTTGCCCATAAGGAGTTTTGCCATACCTCTCATTAACAGGCAGATGTGAGGATCTTGTATTTGTGAGGAAAAACACTATGAACTGTTCTTAGTTTTATTTTTGCCATGACTTACTGCAGCACACAGACACTTTGGTTTTCTTGCTCTTTCTAACTATTGAGGCATTAGAAATGCATGTTGCACCTTTTCATACATGACTCTTCTCAAGCATTAATGCATTCCTTGCTCCCTTTGTCGTATTCCATTCCTGAACTACATATTTTTAGTATAAGCTCTTACCTCAGCATACTGATAACTATGGTGGTTAGTATTTGGTCAGTCATATTTCCATAAAACACACAGCTGTTTGTAGAACAAACTTAAGCTGCTGGAATATCTTCTCAGCTAAAATGCTGTGGAGCCAGATGTGTGTAGCAACAGTGCTTTTACTTGTTATACAGTGCTAGAGACTTGGGACACAGCTTTTTCTATGGTCTTAAGACTTCATAAACAATCAGCAACTAATAAAATGTTAACAATTTGTACTTAAAATGCAGCAACAGAATAAGCAGGATGAGCAAATACCATTTGGTTTCAAAATCTACTAGTCTAACAATGAGTGTCACATTGTATTGAATGTGTTTATATCTTCCACAGACATTAAACTCAGTTGCAGGGACTGTTCTAGAGCCAGTGTCTGTTTATTTCCTTGGGGGATTTTGTAAGTAATCAATATTTTAATTTTTCCCCTCTGCCATTGTGTTTTTCTCAGCTGGAAAAGAAGCAAACAACCCCTCCATTTCAGCCTCAGATCACAGATGATTATGGTTTGGATAACTTTGATACACAGTTCACCAGTGAACCTGTGCAGCTAACCCCAGATGATGAGTATGTTTGGGTTTTTCCTCAAATACAATTAGATGTTAAGAAATTAATGTTTCATTTACTTGAAAATTGCTAGCAAGAGACAATGTACTTAGCATTGGAATGTAGCCAAGTTAAAGTAAATTGTAAATTATTTGTATCCTACATATCTTGTATGACTTAGCAGATGGCTTTTATTTTAGAAGGCTGCCTGCTATTCTAACAAATTCAGAATTTGTGAATGGGTATGGAAAAGCAATTTATTACATGCTTCTTTATGGACCCTATAAGTATGCATGTTGCCTAACTGGAAGGGCAGAAGAAACAAACTATCAAATATTTCAGATTTTCCAGTTATGTTGTTTTAGATATGAGATTAAAACATTAACATGAAGTATTTCTATGTTCACAGATTTATTTTTTCCCATTTACTGTTACTTTTTTACAACTTCACTTGCCTCCATTTCCATAAGGTGTTTTGAAGAAAAGCACAGCAGCAAAAATAGTGGTATCATAATCAATTGGAAGGGATGGAAGGAAATCAAAGGTTTTCTTTGTTTTTCAGAGATATAATAAAGCGAATAGATCAGTCGGAATTTGAAGGATTTGAATATATTAATCCCTTGTTGCTGTCAACAGAAGAAACAGTATGAAGGAATTACATCTTCCTGGTGGACAGTGTGAATGACCTTTGAATTTATCCTTAATTCCAGTACATGCATGTAAGGCTGGGGACCACGATTTGGGACTGAGACCAATGATTTTAAAACAATTGCTGCTGAAAATCAAAGAAGAGAAATTATGATTTTGGTGGGTGTTCTCCCACCACTTCACGATTCTTAAGGTTTGGGCACTGATGGAACTGGCTTCATTAATGAAGGAATTTGCATTTTGTGCCTGTTTTCATGAAGGATTGATATGTTCATTGCATCTCTGGACAAGGAGATTCTGAGAAACTTTGGAGCTCTACACACTTTCTACATACACTTGATGCAATGAGCTGCCAAGTGAAGATTATCACAGTGTAACATCCTGAAGAATAAAATATATTACGGTGGTGTTGAAGCTTATTTTTGATGCCTTTTTTCACAAGTGGTACCTGTCTAAACATCTCAGATATATTTAAAAGGAGTTGTGTTTTATTAGCAATCAAAACGTAAATTTGGGTACAAGATTTAAGTGCCTAAATGGATAAACTGCATTGAAGAATTATTACATATTTGGAACGTTCTTAAACCTGGTAAGTTCTGCTTGTTAATGTTAAGTAAGCATTTACATATGAAGCATAGTTCACAGCTGCAGCCTGATGTTCATTGACATCTTTATAGAAATTGAAAAGCAGAGTGACTTAGCAGTATTAATTCAAATTAGAATTTACAGTCTCAATTTCAAAATCTGTTGTTTTAAACTCCAAATTTACCAAAATGTATAGATTGAAGAAAACTAAATTTGCACACAAAGGATTTCTGAAGATACTTCAGCAGTGCCTACACCCACCAAGATGTTGTGTTGTACATTAGATTTTTGAAAAGTATTTTTATCAACAAGTATTCAGAAATAGAGCAAAAGCATAATAAAGTCTAGCCTTAAAGTTTAAATAATCTAAAGTAACCATAAGATAAAATACACTTTCCTGATAAAGCACACCTCCTACTTATGATAAACAGTCTGCTTACAATTACTCAGTGTGTATTAATAACTAATCATTCTATGTAAGAGAATGGGATGTTTTTGGTAAAATGATTTGCATCAAAGTAGTACATTTTTTTTAATGGACAAAAAAATAATACCTAAGAAACTGGATAAAGCAAAAGAGAACTATCAAATTCCTTCTAGTGGACACTGGGGCGGGGTGGGAATGGCAGGGAAAGGGTTTATTACATCAAAAAGATGAGCAGTTGATCAGCTTGGGAGAGCTCCTGTGGCTGCATCTGAGGATCAGTGAGTGTGATCTGTTGGCTGCAGGTGCTGGGAAGGTCTCACTGCCTCCCACAGCAGCAAAGGCAAAAATTTATTTTTGCTAGATGTTGGGTAACTATATTGTGTGGGTTGTACAGAGAAGGGGGGAGGAAAAATAATGTGGGGAGGGCAAAATGAGAAACCCTGTGCCATGCCATCTTGCCTGATTTGGTGTCAAATGCAGGAGAACTTGCATCAACAGCATTGCATTAGGTGCTGAACATGACATCCTTCGGAGTCACATCCAAGTCATGAGGTGCTAGGACCAGACTGCCAAAACATTGTTTAAAATTTTCAATTAATCATTGATTAGCAATCTACGTTTTGTATCCCCTCATTAGCCACACTTCTGCAGACCTGTGGTTATGGAGTTCTATTAAGCCCATTCAGATTTTAGTTGTGGGTTTCTCTCCATTGGACTGTAGCTTTTCATACGAAGCAAAATGTGTTTTAATCAGCACTAAATAATTTAATCAGTAAGTACTTGCCTCAAATGCCTGGACTTTAGATACTGTATTATCTGCTAAAGGAAACATTTACATTTTAAATGTAACCTGATTTTTTTTTTTTATTACTCCTTTATTTTTCCTTTTCCCTGGCCACTACTTTATTTACCCTGGATAATTTTTCTTTCAGTGTTTTCAACTCCCCTGGTAATAGAGTTAATCAATAGTTATCAGAGTGAGTGCAGGCAGCTCATGAATGGAAACATGACAGATTAAGCTGTCTTTGACATGCCAGGGCATAGGACTTAAAAATGGAAATAGTAGAAATGTGGGTTGGATTTTTTTAAACTTTTTTCTAGGTTTCAGAACATATTTGGGAGGGATGGAAAGAAGAACAGAGACACATTTGCTAAACAAACATTGTAAAGACTACTCGATTTTTATTAAAAAACTTACAAGCATTTACAATGTTGCTGTGTTGCCAAATAGTTTGCTGGATACAAGTTTGGTTGCTCATGTGCAAGTGTTTAAATAATATTCTGTTTATGATGAAGGGGAAATTTTTTATATAAAGTATTTGTTTTATAAATAAAAGAAAATGAAGGATGTAATTAAATGTGTGGTTTGGAAAAAAATCCTAATATATTACAAATGGCTCTGGTAATGATATATAGTTGTCTTATTTGAAATAGTAAACGAAAATTCTAGCTAATTTAATGATTGTAAAACAGTAAATATGTTCTTGTAGTTTTGTATAATTAATTAGTTGGGATCTTTGCTGACCAGTTTTAATTGTGCAGAAGATGGTATACTAATCCATAACAGCTGAGATCATTTATATTCTTGCACATCTATTAAAGACTTTAATGAAAAAGGTAATAGACTGTTATTATTTATCAGTAGACTGTTACTATTTATCAGTAAACTGAGCTATAACCAACTTGCACTTTTTAGAGACCCTGTTGTAAATGAAATTGTGCTTCTTCCTGTATTTTGATGCTATATGTTTATTCTGTATTTTTGGATCACATCTGAACTGTATGTTTTTAGGGGCCAGGGCAGAGGTGTAAGGTTACAAACCTCTTTAGGAAAAGAGCTGGAACAGGCATAGTGGTGCAGCCCTTTAGCAAGGAACTCATTTGACCTGTAAGGCTGTGGCTGGAGATACAGTGTACTGCTGGAGTAGGGACTCTGTTCAGTAAACAATTAACTGTACCTGGGGGAAATTAATAACCTGCTCTAGTTTATTCCATTTGTTACTGAACTAGCACTAAATGCTATTTATTGTCTTTCATGGAAAAGGTTGCTTTTCTCAAGCTTACAAAATGTTTGCCTGCTACTGTTAAGAAGTTACCAAATAATGGACGAGTGTCCTGAATGCCTTCTAGCCAAAACAAACTCAGGTGTTCTTTATTCTCAAACGTTGATGGTTTCTAAGGGGTGTGAGGTTGGGAACTGATACATGAAGAGCTGATTAGGCTGCCTAAGTCTTGTTCTGTATGGTGATATTGTTAAACTGGCAGGAAAAGTGTTTTTTCTGGAGCCTAAATAGTTGGGACTAATGATGTTAATCAAGTGGACACTGACTTTGTAAGTTTCTAAGTAAGGTTATGAATTGAGCTGTGTTTCTTCAGAGAGATTGAAAAAAACCCAAACCACCCCACACCCTTTATTTGCTCTGGGTTGTGATTTCTTTTACTGCAGATAAAATCAGAGTCAACTGTAAAACCATATATAAGCTCTTACTTAGATAAAAATAATGAAAAATGCTAAATCTGAATGACTTTTTAATTAATCTTATTTTCACAGGTTACCTGTTTAGAAAAAAAGGTCAGTAACCTACTGGATCAGGTTGCATGGTATTTTTGTGCAGCTGCTTTCTTCTGCACTTCAAGATTCAAAACTATGGTGCATGAGACAAAACAGGTTCTTGGGGATTTACAGTAGTATATCATAATTTTCAGCACTAGAACAACTTCACATGCATTTGAGAGGATTTATAAGGCCCCAGCCTGGGAGATGGCACTTGACCTTCTATTGAGTCACTGGTTTGTGATCCTTAAGCAAGTTTGAGACAAGGATGTGTTGCCTTGACACATTTTCCCTTTTCCCTTGAGAAAGGTTCCTCCTTGGCCTTGTTCATTTGCTCTTCATTCTTCTGGATTTACCACATCACATCATCTGCACTTTCAGACAAGCACCTGGCAAGATGGGCATCAATATCCATTTGTGACAGCCTGCAAATACAGAGAATTTGTTTAGTGAGGAACAAAGTGAAATCCTTTCACTTACACTATTCTGCACCTTTACTCTCATTTCCTAAGCAGTGGCTGAAGTGTTCTAGCAGCTCCAAGGGTAAGTCATTCCTGTGCTCAGCAGCATTGCAGCCTGTCACAGACTCTTGCAGTTGCTTTTGCCTGCTCCTAGATAGCTTGATAATGTCATTTACTAGAAGACAATGCTCACTATTAGCCTTTAACTACTAAGAATGCTGCATTGGAATGGTTTTTGGATTATGATACAGATCTCACAAAAAAAGTCTTTTGATAACTTGGGTATTTAAAATGCCAATTCTGCCAGTATTGCAAGGCTTATCAGAAAACTCAACTTAAGTTTTTGAAGCAGTATAATCTAGTAAGCATGAACTTCTAAGCTGAATTAGAAGTAGGTAATTTTGATAGTTAAGAAGTATTTTACAATACAAGTGTTGTCTAGTTTCATTATTTTGTATATAGAGAATATGTCCAGAACCATTGTGGGGTTTGTAAACTTCCTAAAAAAAGACTTACGTTCCACTAAAACGAATCAGACACATTGGGCAACTGTCAAGAGTTGAAGATCCTTCACTCTTGTTTTCTGTCTCCTTGCAGCTTTCAGTTCCAGGTTGGCTCACAAGAGGAGCTGTCTCTTCTGCAGGCACAGATCCAGCCTCACCAGGTGAAATACTCCCTTCATGTCTTAGTATTTGAAGCTCTTTCCTATTATTTTCTTCCCTGCTCTTCTGCACAGTCTCTTTGTGGTGCTGCTGAAAGCTAGAAGCTTGAGCAGGGCTTTGTGACAAGGCCAAGTGGTGTGGAGAACTGGGTTGAGAGAATTCACATGATTTATGACCTGCATCCAGTTTTGAGATATGTTTTGGGTCCTCCCCAACCATATTTTTTGCTTGATCTGTAATACCCACACTGCATGTTTTCTCAGCTGTAGAAGGTAAACTTGTCAGTTCATCTGCTTGGCCCTGTTCTTCATGTGGATGGTCAGTCTGGCTCTGTGTTACCTGCTGGGAGCTACAATCCTTCGCTTTTAGACATTCTTTTCTGCAAAAAGATGGGAATGGTACCCAAGGGAAGTCCTTTGTTCCAACTGTGAAGACTTCTTGTTTTTGTGGAGTCTCTTCCTTGGAACTCTGTGACACACACGCAATGTCATCAACCAAGTGCAGTTCAATCAATACAAGGCTGAACATATTACAAATACTGAGGCTAAACTACACTGAAGAACATTTTATTTACATCCATCTCCAGCACTTGTACAGCAATCAAGAACTTTCTGGAGTTGATGCAATACATGTGATCCCTTAACATTTCTGAATGGAAACACTAGGGGACTCATGTTCTGTTGAGACTAAGGATGAAAACAACAACTTGCTGCTTTTCAGGGAAAAAAAT